CAAAATTATGATTATACAAAGCATATCATAATTCACGCTTGGAATAATTTAATAAATTGATATAAAGAAAAAATGAGCAAGCTTGGACCCACATATAACATTTAGCAGCATCTCACCTTATTCACATGACTAATAGGAAGAATTTACTAGTAAAAGGGAGGGGGTGTTGACTGTTGAGCCCATGAGAAAATTTACATGTGAGTTGTATGTTGTCCCACATTGAAGAGTGTCAAAAGTGTTGTGGAAAGTGTATCCCACATTAAAAAAGTAAGAAAGTTGTGTTCACTTTATAAGACTAATGAGCTACTCCCCTTATTGCCATATGTTTTTGAGATGGAACCTCCTTGATCGTATAAAGTGGAAAGTTGTGACGGTTGAGGCTTAGACCCGTTTATCATGGTATCAAACCTGGGTTTGACTTGTGTTGTGATTTGGCCAATATTATGGACAACTCACTTGTAAGGGAGAGTGTTGAGCCGATGAGAAAACCCACATGTGAGTGATGTGTTGTCCCACAATGAAGAGTGTCAATAGTGTTGTGAGAAGTGTCTCCCACATTGAAGAAATAAGAAAGTTGTGTCCACTTTATAAGGCTAAGGGGCTACTCCCCTTATTACCATATGGTTTTGATGTGGAACCTCATTGATCGTATAAAGTGGACATTTGTAATGCATGAAGCCCAAACCCGTTTATCGGGGGGCTAGTTAATCACTACAAATTTTTCCCAAGACTCTAGGGTAGGTATTTCTCCCTACAGCCTGTTTCATTCATTTTGGCATTTTACATGTTTGTTTTTATTCTTTTCATTTTGCCTTTTGCATTTTTTCTAATCTTCTTTCCTTCTTTACTTTCCATTCTAGCCACTATTTTTTCTCTCTCCTCTTTTTCAGAGATTTTGTTTTTTGTCTCCTTTTTTATATCGTTTTTCTATTTTTAAATTGTTATTTCATGGAAATTCATAGCTTAGTTGCTTCTCTATTCCTTTAAGGATCTTATAGCGTTAATGATAATTAATCAATCGATTTTTTTATTTTTATTTTGATAATTCTCTTTTTTTTTATTGTTATTGTTTGATTTTATAATTTTGGTTGTAATGCTTTTAATTTTGATAATTCGCTGTTTTTCAATTGTTATTGTTTGATTGTTATGATAATGATGATTTGATTCATATCTTTGGTTGTAATTGTTCTTCTATTCGATTGTTATTTTGTGTTATTGCTCTTATTTTATATTTTTGATTGTAATCTTGTTATTTGATTGTTCTATTCTAGTTATTGCTCTTATTTAATTTCCATTTTAATATTCTAATTTTTTTTACAGTAATGTGCGTTTTTATATCTATTTATAACTTTATTATTCGATTATTTTTACCAGAAATGTGCGTCTTATATGAACACAATGCTCACTTCTACAATAGTAAATGTTTATTTATGTCTATATTAGTGTTATGTAGTATATAAGAATATTATATGTTTATTGTAGTTGTATTTGAATATATATGTTGTACATGTGAATTTTAATGATTACTGTTGTTTTATTGTTGCTCATATACATTTTAGCTAGTGAACATATTTTGTTATGTGTTAATCTGTTGTGTCATTATAATGTTCAGTTACGTAAAGCTAAATGCTCATTCATTTATATATACTCTACGGTAACTTTAATCTAATTGATCAAATGCGTTACTATGATTTAACATTATATATGTTCATTTTTGGAAGATTATTCTAATGAAATTTACAATATATACGCATTTATATGAAAGGTTTTGGAATTAGAGATTTAGATTTGGAAAGAGTAAGAGGCGGAGAGATGATTCATTATGTATGAAAAGGTTTGTTTGTTCTAAGAAGAAGCAAGTTTCACCTAGTGTTGTTAGCTTGCTACAAATGAAATGCTCCTAGTGTTCAAAAAAATTAAGAATGCTCAAGTATGTTCAAATTTCAATGATTTTAGGTGTTAGCCAATTATCAAGTTGCTCCAACTGTTCAAAAGAGTGCTTAAATTTCTTCAAAAGCTTCCAGAAATGTACAAATTCCAATCAATGCTCAAGTGGCTCCTAGTATTCAAAAGAATATCTTGAACCTTTTGCTATTAAGTACTGTTTTTTCCTTATTGAAATATTTTTTAAATCTTTAGTAAGTGAATATTTAAGTTTCTAAAACAAATCATTTATTTTCTAAAAGTGATCATTAAGATTTTCGAAAGAATCATTTAGTTTTACTAACTTTCTGTAAGTGAATATTTAAGTTTCTGAAAGTGATCATTTAGTTTTTATAAATGATGATCAAAATTGATAAACATAATACTTTACCCAAAAGGAAAAAAAAAAACTCGCGATTTCCATATAAAATTTTAAGCATAATTCTGTAAACAAATAATTATATGTAGGCGTCGTTCGAAGTGCGCCTACGTTAGCATGTTGTGAATATGCTTGGCACTCATAGGAAGTGGAAATTGATATAATACAATTCGATTAGGGACAAGGAAAATAGGGAGCCGCCAACAAGTTTTTAAGGAACTTGTAAACCGTTCACGGATCATAAAAGGCAACCACGAATAAAGGGACAACGATAGGCAACAACGATTGACTCGTGAAGGTTACACCCCTTTCAAAATCCATGAGATAACTAACTCCATATGGTTCGGAACCACAAAAGGAGGATCGAGGATGATGGTACGAAGTGAGTCATGGAGTCACATTCGCCCGTATTGGCCTCTACTCGATTCTTATAGTGAAAAGTGATTCCTGCGATCTCAAAGGCATGCAAACAAAGATTCAATTTGCTCCAAACTATTATTATGCTAAATTTGTTGAATATTAATACCACATATAATTCTAAATATTGTGATCACTTGATTAAATAATAAGATTAAAAAGAAACCTAAACCGGTCGTCCAAATTATCTTATTCGGCGTGATTTTCAATTACATATTCCCTTTAAACATGCAATATGGTGATCATAATAACAATAATAGAACAAACATTAATATTAGAAGCAATTTAACAATAAATTGTTAGTCAAATCAAATATAATAAATCTAATCATGATACTAGCAACAAGAATAAAAATAAGAGTAATTAAGTGAATTAATTACTTACTTTCCGCGTTTCCTTGAATTGCTACATCATGAATAAACTGTTAGTAACTTCAATAAAAATATAAATCAAATAAAAATTAAATTAATAAAAATTAGAGTTGATTTGGTCCAAACCCTCAGTCAATTATACCTTTCACGTCTTGGTTAAAGTATAGAATTTCAGGTATTATATGGACTCCTTGGAGTGCTTAGAGGAAGGAATAGTGAAAGAATGGGAAGGCTAGTGTTTAGGCTAAAGAGGGATAAGAGAATTATTTTGTGATCAAGCTTGTTGATGATTGAAAAAGGGGAGATATGACCTCTATTTATAAGGAAAAATAAGGGTCGAAGAATCAAGAAAAGATAAGAATTCAAATTGGAATAATATTCTTGCGATAGACAACAATTTTTTGCAGATTTTGTTTTTATCATATCTTTTGATAAAAAATCAGAATAAGTTAAATAATATGTCGTTGGAAAGCTCTTGAATTCTAATTTCTAACCCAATTAAAATTAGATTAAAATATTTTGTAGAATAAAATATATGGCCGAAATAGTGAGACGGTGTTAGTTTTGGATAGAGTTTGATATTTCAATCATATCTTTTTCGTTATAGTTCGGAATTAATATTATAATATAGCATTGGAAATATAATTTCAAGGGGTATCTAACCATCTAATATTTGGATTAAAACTATAAGGCATGAAAATAATATCTAAATCTCTTTAAACGTCTTTCGATTCGAATAGAATTAGGACTTTCAAAAAGAGGAATTTTATTCAATTTCAAACTCTTTAATCTTATCTTTTCAAAAAGGATAATTAAGATCTCTTAGAAAATTTTAGAAGCTTCTAAGTAATCCTAATTGGTTTAGGAATGAAATTAAATCTTTTGGACCCTCCACATGATCATTAGGTCGTAGGTAAGGTGGGCTTAGGTTCGGTATGGACTTAGTTTAGTATTTTGGCCATAACTTATTCGTTATAACTCGGATTTGGGCTTATAATATATCGTTGGAAAGCTCTTTTAAAACTCCATCCAATTATTAAATTATTGGACCTATAATTTGGACCAAAATAAATTGGTCTAAACGTTTTTATAAAATGATACGAAATGAATGATTTTAAGGGACACGAAATGAATTATTTGGGTTTAAAGGCATGAAAAGAGGAAAATAAGTTATGGTTTGGGGAAATGGGATATGAATTAGGTTGTTTTATGAAATGGAAATATGGATTTAAACACTCCAAAAATTAAATACTCAACCCGACTAATAATGGCGGTGAAAGGTTGTTCATCATCGGGTTTGGTTTTGGGGAGACATTTTTAGGTGTCTACAATATCTATCAAACTTAACGTTAAAAATTATATAACATAGATATATAAGTTTTATCAACCGACTATGAACATAAATCTACCCATTAGTGAACATATTATATTATGCCTTTGCAAATCTTCTTGTCACACTTCTATTATTCTTAAACTCATCGTTTTCTCCATATAGAATTAGTTGAGCAGTGCATTGCATCCTCAAACTTCTGATTTGGTCTTCATGTTAATGAAAATGAATTATTATTAGTATTATTATTAAATTGAACAATAATAAGTGATATGTAAGTGAACATTATATGCTTACATAATTGAACATTAAGTAATATTACTTGTTTATTGAATTTTACTTACATGATTTGCTTTCAAGTCACAAACCTATATTTATTTCTGACTTATTGTTCTCTTTTTTCTCAGCTCTTGAAGAATTTTCAATTTTGATGGTCTGTAAACGAGATTATGTATTAAACTAGATGATTGTATATTAAAGATTATAAATGTGAGTATTAATAAACGTATCAACTTACTTGGATTGTATGTAATATGTATTTTTCAAAATATGGTTCTCGCTTTATTTTATAACATTATTACTATTCAATTTGTTGCCTATAATAGATGACACTCTTCTCTTTTGAATTATCCTGGCTCTGATCAGCCAAGACAAGTGCAGTTACATCACTAGGAAAATCCTCCATCCACACTCTAAGTTCATTAAAAGAAATACATAACTTAGCTAATTCATGGGCAACCCGATTGTCGCTTCTCCTCACAAACGAAAAGGAAACATGGTGACAGGCCAGAGCAAGCTGAAGAATATCTTTCACAATCATCCCAAATGCAGTACTAGGAGTCATACACTTCACCAAGTGGTTATGTAGCTTCAGACAATCAGTTTCCAAGCAAACACTACGAAATCCGGATTCTATGGCAATGTTTAAAGCATGTCTCATAGCAAGTGCTTCAACCACATCGACCTCAAATTTACCTTCCAACTTAAAGCATGTCGAGGCTACCACATCACCAACATTATCACGCATTACACCTCCAAAGCCCACCCCACTCGAAGCAAAGACTGCTGCATCAGAATTCACCTTGATTACCTCCTCCAAGGGAGGTTTCCAGCACGAATCAAAGGTCGAGGCAGGGGGAATTGTATAACTAATCTCCTGTGCCTGCTCAAATTCTCCAACCATACTCACAGCTCTATGGATGACTTCACTTATCTCATACCTCTTACCTTCAAAACACCACCTATTGCGTTTCAACCAAATTCCCCACGCAATACTCCAAAAGATGTTCCACCAAACCTCATCTTTATAGGCCTTCCTAACCGAGTTACACCACTCCCTAAACGTTTCCCCTCCACTTCTAATCTCAGTGGCGAAATATACCAAACTTTCTTCGCATCTCCACACTTCACTAGCATATGCAAAGTACACTCATTACATTCACCACACAAAGGACATAATTGATCAACATTCATACCTCGTCGAGCTAAATTGCTCTTAGCAGCCACAATATCTCTAATTGCACGCCAAGCAAATAACTTGATTTTCTGGGGAAGCTCTGTGCGCCATATAGATTTCCAATTACAGCAACAGCCCACATGAGAAGAAGAAGCCATCTCACGCTTTTGTTCCTCAAGCAACATATGATAAGCACTCCTCACGGAATAATTACCATCTTTGGTGTAATGCCAAGTCCACGAATCTTTACGGTCAAATTGAGGTACGGGGATATTCAGAATATTTTTTACCTCATTTTATGAAAAAATGGTCTTCAACACACTCGCATCCCATTCTCTATTGCTCCACAATTGACGCACACAATTGAAACCCATAACATTGGTTTCTTGGCTCGACCCTACCTTAAAACCGGGCAAATTTGGAACCCAAGGGTCCCTCCAAATATCAATAGACGTTCCATCCCCAATGTTCTTCCTAACACCTTTCATGAGAACATCACGAGCACCCAAAATCGAACGCCAAGTAGAACTAGCATTCGGACTGATTTTTGCCTCCAACAACGAAGTGTGCGGAAAATATTTACCTTTAAGAACCTTGGCCATAAGGGAGTCCTCATTTGAGAGAATGCGCCACATTTTCTTTGCGAGAAGAGCCCTATTAAAAACTTTCATATTCCGGAAACCAAGCCCTCCTTGATTTTTTGAAGCATACAACTTATCCCAAGCAATCCAAGAAATCTTCCTTTCTTCACCTTTTTTACCCCAAAAAAACTCGCGACATAATTTTTCTACAACATTTAAAATGCTATCCGGGTCGCAAAACATTGCATAGAATATGTCGGGATTGCTTGCGCAATTGATTTAATCGGAACCTCCTTTCCGTCTTGAGACAAATACTTCTCCTTCCACCCCTTAGGTTTCTTCCAAATCCGATCCTGAATATTCTAGAAAACCTATTTCTTAGAGTTACCAATATAAGTTGGCAATCCAAGATATTTGTCATGTCCTTCGACAGCCTTAAAAGATAACTTCATCTGAAGCATATTCTTCCGTTCTTGATCAATGTTTCGGCTAAATGACACCTCTGATTTATCCATATTCAGTTTCTGACCCGAAGCCACTTCATAAGTAGACAGAATTCCAAGCACCTTCTCAAATTCCTCTTCAGTAGCTCTCACAAAAAGAAGACTATCATCTGTAAAAAATAGGTGAGAAATTGGTTTAACATATCTACCAATTTTCACCCCATGAATATGATTCCTTCGCTCCGCATCACAAATGAAAGCATATAAGCCTTCAGCATACAGAATAAACAGGAAAGGGGAAATTGGATCCCCTTGTCTAAGGCCTCGACTAGACTTAAACTTTCTCGAAGGTTGACCATTGACAGAAATATCAAAAGACGCAGTACAAACACAGTTCATAATCAACCCCACAAACACCTCCGACATCCCCAATTTCAACATCATTTTTTCCAAAAAAGTCCACTCCACCCTATAATAAGCTTTACTCATATCAAGCTTAAGACCAAGGTAGCCTTTTTTTCCTGTTTTTTTCTTTCTGAGATAATGGAAACATTCATAAGCCACCAGCACATTATCCGTGATCAGACGTCCTGAAACAAAACCTCTCTGAGACTCATGAGCAATGTAAGGAAGCACCAATTTCAATCTATTTGCTAGCACTTTTGTGACAATTTTATATAAGACATTACACAAACTAATAGGCCTATAATCAACAAGAGACTCACATTCTTTTTTTTTTTCGGAATCAATACAATATGAGTCTGATTAATAGAACCTACATCCCCACCATTATTTAAAATATCAAGTACTTTTCCCACAACATCAACCCCAACTATGTCCCAGAATTTTTAAAAAAATATTGCAGACATACCATCTGGCCCGGGGGCCTTTGTAGGGTGCATTTGGAAAAGTGCAACTCGGACTTCATCAGCAGTGTAAGGGGCTGCCAAATTTGTGTACTGCCTCTCATCAATAATAGGATCAACTTTCCCCAACACAGGCTCTTGCTCGATACTACTATTTCCCGCAAATAGGCCCTCGTAATAAGAAGCGAAAATTTCAGAATTTGCTCCTCATCATTGTACAAATTACCAGCAGCATCTTTTATGAGATAAATATTATTTCTCTTTTCTCTTTGTTTTGCCTTGTGATGGAAAAAAGACGTATTTTTGTCACCATGCTTCAACCAATCTTGCCTACTTCGTTGCTTCCAATACATCTCTTCCCTCCTCTCAAGGTCATCCATACGGTCATCTATAGCTCTCATCTTCGCAATTACCTCCTCCGATTGATCCTCTTCCATCAAATGTTTCATTTGCACCCTACAATCATTCAATTCCTTCACAAAGTCACCAAATTTATCTCTACTCCAAGCACTTAACCTCGATGAAGTACAGGCTATTTTCGAACAAAGATCGCCACCACATTCCCATGCCTCCGACACTATCTCAGCACAATTCTCATCCCGGAGCCACATCTCCTCAAAACGATAAAATTTTTTCTTTTTCTTTTTTTTTTTCTGTTTTGGCACGGCCTCCTTGATGGATAAAGGAATGGGTAAATGATCGGATCTCCTCTTCTTTAGGTGACTAAAGACCCCATAAAAGCTTCCCTCCAAGCATTATTTGCAAGAAATCTATCTACGCGCTCTTGGATATTTTTCGGTCCACCTTGGTTGTTTATCCAAGTAAACTCATGCCCAATAAAGCCAAGGTCTTCGAGATGACACCTATCAACTGCATTACGGAGAATGTCGGCCTCCTCAAAGCAGAAACCTCGTCCTCCCTTTTTTCATGTGAGTGTAGCATTAGGTTGAAGTCGCCCCCCACCAGCCACGGCTTTGCATTCGAGTCTCAAAGGCTTTCAAGCAGCTGCCCGGTCTTATATTTATTCTCCTCCTCAGGATGCCCATAAATACCCGTGAAGCGCCACTCCTCAAACTCATTCACCCCCACCAACGCATCAATATGATTCAATGAGTAGGTTCTCACCACTACATCAATAGATCCATGCCACAGAAGTGCAAGACCCCCACTCCTTCTCCTTCCTTCACCATCACACTCAACTACAAAGCAAGAATTGAATTTTATTTTTTGTTTAATTTTTTCCATCTCTAAAGCCTTCAATCTTGTCTCCGAAAGGAACAACACTTGGGGACGCTCAAGAAAAACAATGCATTTTAGCGCATTAACTGCAGCGGTGCTCCCCAAACCCCTACAGTTCCAAGAGAGGATGTAGTTCCTTTATCGCCGAGAGCCCAAGTCGTCACCTTTTCATCAGACAACGATAACACTCTCTTTTTCTTCCCTTCTCTGTCTTCATCATCAATCATCACATCACTTTTATTAGTATTCGTTTCCCTGCCCCTCCTTTTTTCTCCCGAAAGACTTACACTGCACTCCATACTAAGATCAATGTCTCTCGGCTTCCTCCTCCATACCTTCCCTGCTTTTCCTTCCCCACTACCTTCCTTCCCCACTTGGGTAATATTGTTAACATTATTTTGAGCAGTTTCCCCACTAGAAAAGACAAGCACGCTGCTCTTAGAAGGCTCCTCCCTCTCCACACTCACCCCATTCGCATCAAGAGACTTATTTTTATCTTCTTTATTTTTTATTTTTTCAGCGTCCAACCCCACCTCAGCATCCAACCCACGTCACTAATTTTGCTAGCTAACTCACGCACAATTACTACTTCTTTCTGGCTTGTTTCAATTTTCTTCGGTTTCGTGACAAACAACACTTTTGCACTTGATCCCCCTACCTCCCAACCATTCTCATCTCGACTTCCTGGTCTATAATTCCATGGTGAAGCTTTCATCCATTCCCCAAAGGGGATAGTTGGGTTATCACATTCTTTATGTTCATCACAATCTTTTATGCCATGTCCCATAAGTCCACAATAATAACAAAACAAAGGGGGTTTTTCATATTTTACCTCAAAGAACTCTTCAATTCCACCTCTTAATTTCAGCTTCACATGTTTTGTAAGAGGTCTTCTCACGTCAACCATAACCCTAAGGCGTATAGATTTGTCGATACCCACCTTTGCTTCGTTATCCATCTTCACAAACACACCCAATTTGTTGCCAATTTTTTCAATATTAGCAACATTCAATCTACCCTTTAGAGGGAGATTATAAACACGAATCCACATTGGTAGGTGAAAAAGTTGAGTCTCCGAGGGTTTTACTGAATCCATCGCATCACCCAAAATCAAAGCATGCCTATCAAAATGCCACGGTTGTTCTTCAAGCACCTTATATTTATCTCTCCAATGAAAAAATTGGAACATGAACATATTTTTGCCAATATTCGTAATGTCCACCCCATGTTTCAGTTGCCACGCAGATTTTATTGTAGCAATGAAAGCATTGGTCTTAATGCTTCTATTCGTCCAGACCTTCCCTACTAGGAAAAGTTCAACCCTAACATCCTCATCAAATTCACCAGATTCGTCCCAAACAATAGTTTCGTTCGGATCATTTTGCGCAAAAACCTCTGAATTTCTACTATCAGACCCTTCCTTCTCCATCATCAACACAATTTTGTTACTATCCCCCATAATTGGAAGCCAATTATAGAGAAAACAAGAAAGAATGCACCAAAAAACGATAAAACTCGACCAAAATCGAGAAAAAACCTTGAAAAAAGGAAACCCTAGCCCCAAGTGACTAGATTACACCCTCCCAAGGCAGAGAACCTAGAGGGAACTTTTTTACTTTGGCTATTTCTTCTCTTTTGAATTATAGGAATAAACTTTTCACCTCTAATTTGCAACAAGTGATTCATTTTAAATGTCACATCACTAAAATATAAATTATATTTGTAAATTAGTTTATTTGCACAAAAGTGAGATGATGATCACTATACATTTCATAATTATTCATATATGTATTTAGAGATGCACATTATATTTGAAACAATGAATATACTTGTACACGCAAATAAGCATACATGAATTACATGATAAACATCTGATTATTTGAATATATGGTATTTACATATATAATCAAATCAGATGATGTAAATACACATACATGATATATGTTGAACACACATGTATCATGAACTACACAATAAACATCTTCCATGGAGAATGTCTTCTATCGAATTGATTTATATATTTATATTT